CTACTTTTTTTAGGTTTGTTGATATTATCCATTTCTTCTTGAGTCAGTACTGGTAGATGGTATGTTTCTAGGAATTCGTTTATTTAATCTAGATTGTCTAATTGGCTGGCATATAAATTTTCCCCTGTAATCCTTTAAATTTCTGTTTAGCTAAAGATTCGTTACTTTCGCTGATCTTTTCAAAGAAATAACTTTTTGTTTCATTGATTCTAATTTTTTTTCTTTCCTGTTCTAATCTTTGTTACTTCCTTCCTTTGCTGACTTTAGGTTTAGTTTGCTTTTCCTTAAGGTATAAAATTTGGTTATTGATTTGTGATCTTCTTTTTTAATATAGGCATTTATAGCTACACATTTCTTTCTGAGTACTGCTTCAGCCCCTAATACATTTTAATGTGTTGTGCTTTCATTTTCATTCATCTGAAAGTATTTTCTAATTCTCCCAGTCATTTCTTCCCCAGTTTGTTATTGGTTTTAGCCTCATCCCTTATAGTTGGAGAAGATACTTCGTATGATTTCAATCTTAAAATTTATTGAGAATTGTTTTACAGCCTAACAACTGATCAATCCTAGAGAATATTCCATGTGTACTTTAGAAAAAAATGTATGTTCTGTTGTTGGTTAGAGTGTTGTTTATATATCATTAGATCTAGTTGGTTTGTAGTGTTTTTCAAGTCTTCTGTTTTCTTATTGCTCTTCTATATGGATGTTCTATCTTTTATTGTAAGTAGTGTCTTAAAGTCTGCAATTATTGTAGAACTCTATTTCTCCCTTTAATTCTGTCAGTACTTGCTTTTCATATATTAATATTTTGGGGGCTCTGTTCTTTGGAGTATTATATTTGCAATTATTATATTTTCTTGATGACCCTTTGTCAATACAGAGAAATATCCTTTTCTCTTGTAATAAATTTTAACTGAAAACCCATTTTATCTGTTACTAGTATACTCACCTAGCTCTCTTTTGGTTACTATTTGAATGGAATGTCTTTTTTATTGTTTCTTCTTCAACCTATTTGTGTTTTGGAGTTTGAAGTGAATCTCATTTAAGTAGCATAGATTTGGACCATGTGTGGTTTTTTTTTTTTGTTTTATTTTTAAATCTCTTCCTATGGCTTTGAGCAAACAGAACCATGTTTTCTTTAAACTCCATTCTGCCAGTCTTTCTTTTTTTTAATTTGTGAGTTTATTTATATTTAAAGTGATACTGATAAGGAAAGATGGACTTCTGCCATTTTGCTATTTATTTTTTATGTCTTAAATCTTTTTTTGTTTTTCAATTTCTCCACTGTTGCCTTCTTTTACGTTTGATTGATTTCTTTCTCATGTACCATTTTGATTCCCTTATTTTTCTCTTCTGTATAACTAAATTTATATTAATCTAGTTTAAATTAATATCAATTTATTTTTACTAGTGTACATTAACTTTGCTCCTAGTTAGCTTTGTTCCCACCCCTTTTATTGCCCATTTACATAGATAGATTTAAAATTCTTGTTTTATGTGTATGTCTTTTAATTCATTTAGGAAACAGAAAGAGGAGTTATAAACAAAATATACAGTGATACTTGCTTTTTATATTTACTTGTGTAGTGACCTTTACCAGTAATCTTTAATTCTTGTATGGCTTCAGGTTACCATCTAGTGTCCTTTTGTTTCAGCCTGAAAAACTCCTTTAACATTGTGATATAGCTGGCCTAGAGTTAGAACCTGTACAATGCCATTTTATAAAGAACAAAGCTGTTTCCATTCTCCTCACAATGGCTGCTAACCTTGGCTTTTGTAAATTGGTAGATCATTTGCAGGATGCAAATTGAGGTAAAGCGGCATACCTTCTTTTATCTGTAAATGCCAGAATTGCTGGCCTTTGTTTACCAGAGTAAGCACCCCCAGATAATTCCGTCCTGGAGCCAAGTAAATAAAAATCTATGGATCCCACCCCTACCCAGACGATGTGTAAACAAATGTCAATCTCAGCATCTATGAACCCCTTAAATAACAATCAGAATGTCAAATAGTCCCCCGGCCCTCAAAATGTTTGGAACCTCCTTACCCTTCTCTCCGCCCAGAAGGTGATTTGAATCCCCTGGCCCCCTCGGAATGTCTGAAGCCCCTCACCCCATCCTCTCCCCTTACCCCCAAGGTGATTTTACGGGTATAAAAGGTCTTGTCACCCTCTTTTACAGGGCCACGGGTTGGAGAGACGTGAGTCCTCCGTGGTCACCGGCAATAAACCCTGCAATTTGGCAGACTTTTGTTCTGGTGTTGACTTTCTGTGCTCAGTTCGATATAAAAACATTTCTTGTGAAGAAGGTCTACTAGTAATGATTTTCATTAGCTTTTGTTTATCTGAGAATGTCTTAATTTCCCCTTCATTTGGAAGGATAGTGCAGCTAAATAGAGAATTCATCTGTCTTACTATAGGAATTCCATATTGCATTTGTTGGTACACTTGATGTCCTATTGGTCTCTCATGGTCTTTATTTTTTTTTTCTTTCCTCAGACTGGATAGTTTCAGTTGTCTCATTTTTGGGTTTGCTGGCTCTTCTGACTCTCAAAACCTGCTGTTGAACCTCATTATGGAATTATTCATTTCAGCTATTGTACTTTTCAGCTCCAGAATTTCTATTTGATTCCCTTTTGAAATTTCCATCTCTTTATTGATATTACCCATTCGTTCATAGAACCTTGTCCTGATTTCCTTTGTTCTTTGTCTATTTAAAACTGTTAAAGTCTTGGTATAGTAAGCCTGTTCTAGCTTCTTCATGGATGGTTTCTGTCCATTTCTTTTCTTCTTTTTCTGTCAACTTTTTTATTTTTATTTTTCTCCGTGTATTTTGCAATTTTTGTTAAGAACTAGACATTTTGAATATTATAATGCAGTAATTCTGGAAGTCATATAATCCTCCCTCTGCAGGGGTTGCCGTTCTTACTTGCTGAATGCTGAAGTTATCTGTTTAGTGACCTTTCCGAAATATTTTTGCAAAGACTGTATTCTTTGTTGCATGTGATCACCGAGGTCCCTGTTCTGTTATCTCTATGGTCAGCCAGTGATTTCCTTAAATGCCTGCATCCAATAAGGGTAAAAAAGTTTCTGTATCTAATTTCTTTTGAAAGATCCTGCTTGGGAAGCCCTTCAACCCTAAGGGTTTGAAACAATAGGCAACCTTTGCTCCAATCTCGAAGTGAATTTACAGGCAAATCAAAACACACCCCCTGCAAACTGTGGAGGACAATGTTCACTTCCTGGTACAAGCAGGCCAGTCAAGGAATATGAGCCACAGTCTCCATGGCTGCCTACCATAGAGATGGAGCTGACAGTTCTTGCCAGCTTAATAGTTGATTTACTGAAGGGACTGCTTTGGAGTGTCTTACTCCACCATCTTCTGCGATATATGCTGATATATATATCACTATATTAGCAGTATGTGTATGCATAGATTTAATTCTTATAAGTTATTTACCATTGTATCTATTCACCTTACAAATTAGTATAGTTGACCAAAAAGACTGAATTTTGCACATATATGTAGTGGTGTCACTACATTATCACTACGTCGTAACTTCTGACTGTGCAGATAAAATGTTCTTTCTTTATTATATCTGTAGTTGGTCTTTTTTCTCCTACTTATTTATAGAAGACCACCTGATTAGCTGGAGCGGGGGAAGGTGGCAAATATAATTTAAAACTTTGTCCAGTGTGATGACTTAAATAATATCTTTAGGAAGTATCTAACTCTCTCTGAGATAAAAGTGCTCAGTTTCTCACTCTGCTTTTAACCCTGGGATGGTTTAAGAGTGTCGGGTGAGGTGTGTAGCCTATGATATCTTGGCAGTAGGACACTGACTTTTTCCTTCTGTTTGATGTTCACTGTTTCCTCTGGTCTCTGGAATAATACCTTTTAACCTCCTACTTGTGTTTGCCTTGCTGGCTTAAGCTGATGATGTTATAGCTGGTAATTCATGGTTGGGCATTTCTGTTTGGTCAGAAACTCATGGTGCTTCCCAGGTAGTTCAGTCTTTGGCGTCTGCTCTGAGTTCTCCTAGGTATCTGCCTTGTCTCTCTACAGCTGCTGGCCTGGAACTTCATGCACAGCCTTTGCTGCAGTATCACCCTGTTTCATAGCAAGCTCCATGGACACCACTAGCTCAGAAAATCTGCCTCAGAGCTTATAATTATTTGAGCATATTGAAAAACTCCCTTGAGACAATGGCTTGACTTACAAAATCATGGACTGTATAATCCTTCTGTTCAGGTCAGATACTGCATATTTTTTCATTTGACCTCTTTGTAGTTCCTTCACTAATAAAACCAAATCGTTCCCCAGCCAGATGAATGCTTCCAGCAGTCTTGGGCAAAGATCAGATGCTTGGAAAGGCAAAACAACAAGAATGAAAATAATAATTTTTAATTTTTAAACACTCTCATGATTATACACGTGTGGCATGATATTTAAAGAGTTATATGTAATTCTAAATGTGTAGAAACCTCAAGCTTAAGGAATGTAGAATCTTTAGAGAGGTATATATGGTGTTCATGTGTATGTATTTATGTTAAGATACATATGTATATATATTATGTGTAGTTAAGATATTCTCTCTCTCATTTTTTAATTTGTTAGATTTTTGAGACAGTCTCACTCTTGTTGCCCAGACTGGAATGCAATGGTGTGATCTTGGCTCACCACAACCTCCGCCTCCCAGGTTCAAGTGATTCTCCTGCCTCAGCCTCCCGAATAGCTGGGATTACAGGCGCATACCACCATGCCCTGCTAATTTTTGTATTTTCGGTACAGACAGATTTTTACCATGATGGCCAGGCTGGTCTCGAACTCCTGACCTCAGGTGATCTGTCTGCCTTGGCCTCTCAAAGTGTTGGGATTACAGGCATGAGCCACCGCGCCCGACCTCTCTATATAATATTAAGAGGTTTATTTTCTATGTATCGACATTTTCCCATGACTAAGAATAATGTGATTTCATGCACATATTTTCTTCTATTGTAGGACAGTTCGTGTTTGGTTAAAGAGAGACAGTGGACAGTACTGGCCAAGCATATACCATGCAATGCCTTGTAAGTATTCCAATCTCTGTCTTGAAAAACCAGACATGTACCCTAACTCTCCTTCAGATTGCCTTCTCTGTATTTTTTTCTTAAGTAGAGAAGACTGAGGTTGGGATTCTCATTATAATGAAAAGTACCATATTAAATCATTTTAGATTTTCTAAGGCTTTCACTATGTAAAGTAAGAAAATTGTTCTGAAATTGACTGTATATTCATAGCTTTTGAATAAGATTAATGGAAGAAGGACTACAGCACATAGGCTTTCTGATTGCAGCAGTCTTCCTCTCTTTTCCAACTTTTTGTTCGGCTATTTTGTAAAGTATGTCCTTAGGCAATTCAGAATTTTGTCCAGTGATTACATTTGTGAAGTAAATTTGTCCTTGCCTTATTGTTATATCATTTATTCAAATTCAAGACATTCAGCATTGAACATTCAATTCTAAAAGGATTTGCTTAGGATTGAAATATTCTAATTAGAAGTTGATTTCATTTTTCCAATCTTATCTGAGAATTTTGTCCTTGCACTGATAAATAATGAATCTTCCAAGTACACTTTTAAAAGAAAAAAGATATGTGTGATTCTTAGATTATTCCATTTGCAGAAGTTCCCCCACAGCTGGAGAAGAACTGACCCCCCCCAAAATAAAAAGTTTCTTTTTAGTCTAGCCTTTTATTTTTAAAATTAGTGAAGTTTGGGCATCCTATGCCATGTTTATTTTAGTGTAAAATAATTATTTAAATTTATTATCATTTGTATTAAACATTTCCCTTACTCCCCTCCCTTCAAATCTTAATTAAAATGGATATTGTAGAAAAATACCCCAGGTTTGTTGTTTGGACTCCTATACTTTTGGCTTGCTGCAGTGTATACCTCCTTTCTTGATATAAGTATCCCAGTTTCAGAAGGACATGCCAAAATAAATTCATGCTAAATTGTAGATTTGCTTAAAATTATGCTTCTGGCAAAAGAATACTATAATAAATAACAATTTTGCTTGTTTATAAACAAATGATTATTAACAATGTAATGGTTTTCAATGACTTTCAAATTATCTTTGAAGCTTTGCATGTTTTTAGAATTTTATAGTAAATAGATGATGACAACCGAGCTGAACAAAGTATTCAACCCTTTTTTTGAGAAGAAACTTCATGTAATTCTAAATACTATATCCTTTCCTTACCTGTTTTGATTCTAGAAGATACTATTGTACATTATGAAATCAAGCTGAACTTTCTTTTTAAGCCATGGCAGTGATAAGGGGTTAGCTAAATGAAGAAGGAGAGCATTCTCTAGTTTTTTTTTTCTTCCTGATTTTTTTTTTTTTTTAAGGATAGAGTCTTGCTCTATCGCCCCAGCTGGAGTACAGTGGCACCATCTTGGCTCACTGCAACCTCTGTCTCCCACGTTCCAACGATTCTCCTGCCTCAGCCTCCCAAGTAGGTGGGAGTATAGTCTCGTACCACCACACCCAGCTAATTTTTGTATTTTCAGTAGAGACGGGGTTTTACCATGTTGGCCAGGCTGGTCTCAAACTCCCGACCTCAGGTCATCCCCCCACCTTGGCCTCAAAGGTGCTGGTATTATAGGTGTGAGCCACCATGCCCAGCCATTTTTACTGTTTTTTAAATGATTTAACCAGTTTTTTTTTTGTGGTCTTGCTTCATCAAACCTGCCACAGTTTCTAACTGTAAGAGATAAGGGAAGGCTGTAATCCAGCACGTTGAAGTTGGCCTCAGAGATAATAGATCCCATGACCTGCAAATAAAAGAGACTAACCTGGGCAAAATGATGGGAATTTGAAGATGGCAAGCAAGGAATCTTCTTGAGATAGGAGAAGCATTAATAGGAACCTCATGAAGGCACAGGATCCCAAGCAATTGGTAACTTATTCCCTTCCCCCTATACAAATACATATACATTTTGGTGTCATCCTCTAATGCTCTCTTTATTGGATATCACTGAGAATGCAGAGAAGTTTTTAGTTGCATTTTCATCATTTATTTTATTTATTATTATTATTATTATTATTATTTTTTGAGATGGAGTTTCACTCTTGTTACCCAGGCTGGAGTGCAATGGCGTGATCTCAGCTCACCGCAACCTCCGCCTCCTGGGTTCAGGCAATTCTCCTGCCTCAACCTGAGTAGCTGGGACTACAGGCACGCGCCACCATGCCCAGCTAATTTTTTGTATTTTTAGTAGAGAGGAGGTTTCACCATGTTGACCAGGATGGTCTTGATCTCTTGACCTCGTGATCCACCTACCTCGGCCTCCCAAAGTGCTGGGATTACAGATGTGAGCCACCGCGCCCGGCCCTATTTTCATCATTTATTAAGCTATATGCAAGAATGACTAAAGTTCACTGTAGCTCCCACATCTGGCATAGGTGCTGCGTAAATACTTATTGAAGGATTTAGTCTGATAGGATTACCATCCATTTTCCTTATGACTGAACATGAACTTTGAGAAAGAGGACCTTGTAATTATTTGTATACGTTGCCTTTTGTGTTCTACTAAATAGAGTTAAAAAGGGATTACTTTGCTATTCAAAATGTGGTCTCTGGGCCAGTAGCATCAGCATCACCTGAGAACTTACTAGAAATGCACTCTTGGGTTCTACCCCGGAGCTACGCAATCAAAATCTGCATTTAACAAAATCTCTAGATAGGCTGGGTGGGGTAGATCACGTCTGTAATCCCTGTGCTGTGGAAAGCCTATGTAGGAGGTTTCCTTAAGGCCAGGAGTTCAAGACCAGCCTGGACAACACAGTAAGATGCCACCTCTCGCTGTCTCAAAAACAAACAAAAAACCCAAACCCTAGATAATTCAAATATACATTAAGGTTTGAAAACATTGTCTCGTGACATTATACCAAACATGTTGGTGATCTATGTACGTATGTTTATATGAACACATGTAAAGCCTTATCTATATACAGTATTGATTGGTAAATATATGGATATAAGTATACATGCTAGTCGATCAAATATTTACTGTGTGTCTGCTGTATACAGGCCACAGATCAAGATGCCAGGGATTTGCAGACAAACAAGATGTATATGGTCAAGATAATTTCAGTAATCTTTTGAATGTATTCAATGTGTAGAGATGAAAAAAAAAAAGTTATCTTCATCACAATTGGTTAGAAATTGGATTTTGTGTTCCAAGGAATCTTATGCATTCAGATGACAGAGTAACTGACCTCTGAGCAAGAATTTAAGATTTGTTTAACTTGAGAGAGGCAGAATCTTATTCCGTAAGGAAATAAGCTACATTTCCATCAGAGAACGTGAAATAGATTTGAGTTTCCAAGGAATTGTTTTGTAGTCCTTCCTATTGAAAGGTGTTTTGTTAAGAGGTTACTCAGTATTATTCTTACATGATGGTTATGTGGTAGTGGTTTCAAAATAAGTGAAAATATACAATATATTCAGAGGCTATAAAATAAATACCACAAAGCAGATACAACCATATTTTGTGTTTATTCTAATACATAACAAGTAGTATTCCAAGTACAGAAGAAAATAAAATTCTGCACATTTATTAAAATATGATTTATTTATTTTGTCCATTAAAATACCTTTTAAATATAGTATTTGCCATGTTCCAGCTAAGAGAGTAAATTCATTATAGCTTTGAGAAGAATTTGAAGTTTAACTAAGGTAGGAAGTGGAAGGCATTGAATGAGATACAATAAACAATGAAGGCCAAGTTTGATGACCAGAAAGCAGCTTGAAAGGCAGAGTGTGATGAGGCTGAGTGATCTTGGAGGACTGGCAGACAAGAGAAAGAAGAGCAGATGCATCATGGTCAAAAACAGAAGCCCTGCTTTGGGGATGTCTTCCTATCCTGTCTTTTCTGAGAAGCTCCTCCTCCATAGGAGGGAGCCAGGAAAAACCAAGCTTGCTTGGTTAAGGCTGTTTGTCCCTGGGCCAATCTGATTTTCCCAGGAATTTAGAATTTGGAGGTGGACATGCTAGTTTCAGCCTGGGCAGGGCCATTTTACTGGGAGCATATAAACCCAAGAGCTGTGAAGCATTTGTGTGTATGGAGAAAGAGTGAAAAAGCTGATCTGCAGGAAAGGTATGGTGAACAGGGAGAGAAGAACATTTGGCTCCTAAGGAAGAGAAAGCAAGCAAGTGATGCTCAAGGTTTTCTTCATCCTCCTAATCCCCTGAGAATCCTGGCTCTGTTCTGCCTTTGAGCTCAAAAGATACCCCTCTTTCTTATTGGATATGCCCATTTGTACCTAAGTTCACATGAGCAGATTTCTGTTACTTGTGACAGCAAGTATTAAGCCTGGGCCTCATTGCACACCTTTTAATTCCTACTCTTTCGGTTTTTCTGGGATCTCTGTGATATTTAATGAGAAAGGACTGAGTCATGGCCCTATTGGTCCATGGTGGAGTTGAGCTTAGCATAGTCTAGGAAAGGTGTAAAGAAGGAAAGCAGAAAGTAATATTTGATCTTGTTTAATTTCTTTGGATAGCTCATTCAACAAATGTTAAGTGTTTCTTCCACATCCAACACTGTGCAATGTACTAGGGATGTAGTAGTTAAATATGGCAGATGGTTCCTGTCTGTGGTGTTTATACTCTGGTGGGGAAGGCAGACATTAAATGAATACCAACCATGATGTTTGGTGAGTGTTGTAACATGGGAAGTAGGCATAATGGGGACATGGTCACAAAGTCTCCCTAAGGCAAGTTCATTTTAAAACGTACTCTCTGTAGAGAATTTGGGGATGACTGCTGCCTTGTTTTGTAGTTTGCTATAAGCTAGCTGATTCTTATGGATGAATGAGAAATCAGAGCCTTTCCTTATCAAATATTCTTTCAAAACGGAATATCCCCTTGGTATATCTTATGTAGTAGCTGTGCATCACCTGTGACAATATCACCTTGCAACCTACCCATCTGGAACCCTGCATGAGCTTGTAAACCAGGTCCTCAGGGTAAGAGTGGAAGTTTCAGTTACACCCGTAAATGTGATTATTTGTTCTAGGCT